TCATCAATCAATCCTTTCATTTATGTGATAGGCCTGCATTTAAAATGAACATTTACCACAAATTAAATGTATCTTATATTATTATATATATTATTATAAAACATGCTTTAGCTAAGAAGTTATTGATACTTCAAATGCAAAATGATGATATAAAACCATGACAAAAATGCAATTTTAAGTACTAATCAATTCTCTTGTAAAATTTTTATTGGTTTTCAATTTCATCTTTCAATATAACTTAATGGTATTGTGTTTTCTTATTGGGTTCTTATTATTTTGATTTTTAATTTTTTTCTTAACTCTTTTTGTAAAATTTATTATTTTTTTCAATTTCACCTTTTAATCAAAATTTTGTTTTTATTTTTTATATCAATTTTAATTCTCATTCTATTGATTCTTTTAGGTCCTTGGCTTGATTATTTTCCTTTTCAATATCACCATTCAATAAAAAATAAAATTTATTTTGTATTTTAATTTTAGTTGTTATTTTTAAAATCCTTTTTGTATAATTTTTTTTTTAATTTCATCTTTCAATATTTAATTGATTGAGAATTAAACTTCATAATTGTTTTTTCATATAAGATGCTTTAGGTTTAATGACCTAGGTCATTTATTTGAAAAGTTAACATATTTTTTAAAAAAGAAATTTATAATTCTTTTTATTTTTTATTAGGTTATTTTGATCTCATAACCTAAATCACGGATTTGACGAGATATCTCGGGTTAGGTTAGTTTTGATTACTAGGGTTATATGTTTGTCATACTAACTTAAGTTGACCAAAATTGATTTTTTATTTCCTTTTTTTATCCCATTCTATTCTTCTAAATTTAAAGGGTTATGAATTAATAAACATCATTCATCTCCTTTTAAACCCCTCTTAAAGTTATTTTTATTTTAAATCTTATCTATTTATTATCTTTTTAATTTTTTTCATCTAATTAAAATAAAATCAGCTTATTCAATCTAGTCGGGTATATAACTCGAATCACATATTTTTATTTTAAAAAAAATACTCTTGCGACACTTATACATCATTTTTTCACAAAAAATAGTCCAACTTCATGGCAAAACATAGACGCTAAGGCTAGTGAGATTCTAATCTAGAAGAGCTCACTCAACTTAAAAGAAGAAAAAACACAACATTGATAAGAAATAATGACATTGATAAGAAATAATAGTAGTCTCTTTCCACTTCTTACTTTATTATAATTTTTTTAAAAATAAAAGTTAAATAAACTCGGTCTTTCACTATATGTACTTATATATTATGAATCCACGTAATAAAATTATTATTTTATCATTAAAGGACAAACTTTATTAACTTGGTTTTGAGGGTTGGATGATTTTTTCTAATAACATCCATTATCATTACAAAATTTATAGGGTTAATCAGTGTTTTTAAATTTTTGTTGCGTGGTATTGTTACTAAATTACTCTTAAAAGAAAAAAAATAAAATAAATCAAGGGTTTTTTTTTAATTCTTCAAATTTTTTTTGCGCAATATGGTTATTTAATATGCTCCTTGGAATAAAACTCATTTGGTTTTGGATTTTAGGACATTTTCATCATTTTAGTCAAAAAACAATTTATAATTCTCATATTAGGCGAGGGATAATTGAGTTTCTTTATATATATCAAATATAATGAAAATAAAACTTGACTTATAGTACATATAATATTGGGAAATTCGAAACATTGTTTTCTAAGATGATGTTTGAGGTATCTTTTCACCTTTATTCTGATAGTTAAACACATGTAATCAGACAAGCAATGGTTGAGCACTAATAGTAGATCCCCTCGCCATCCCCCCTTCTTTTCTTTACTCATATGTTATGCATTGCAAAACAACAAAGAAGCTTGGTTATTTGTTTATTGAATCAAATTAGTATCTTATTTTTTTTTATTTTAATGCATTTGATCTTGAATTTTTTGATGGATTCTTGACTTTTGACTTTTATATCAAATTTAGTTTTTATTTTTTTTATTGTTATTTGTATTTTTTTATATCTTTTTCTTGATTGGAATTATTTTTCAATTTCATCCTTCATGATTTTATTTTATTTTTTGTGTCAAATTTTGTATTTATTCTTTCTTAATCTACATTTTTTTATTTTTAATACCTTTTTTTGTTGATTTTTTTTTAAAAAATTGTTTGTAATTATCTTGATTGGTTGAGAATTTAATATTATTATTTTTTTAAATTTGATTTTTATGTTGTAATCCAACCTCATGATTCATGTTTTGAGCTTTAAAGATTAGATTATGTTGACTTTATTCTTTTTATGTTGTTTTTTTTAATTAATTTTTTTTCTTAGTTTTATCTTTTAATATTAGATTTGTTTAAAATTAATATTTGTTATTTTTTTAACTTTTTTTTCTATGAAATTATATTGATATCATACCTCGAGTCATAAATATAACAAGTTTAATAGGATTCACTCAAATCTTTTTTTTCATTATTTTTTTTATTTTTTATTTAGCTTTTTTGATATTAAATTGATTTGATAATTAAGTTCAGTAATTTTATTTAATATGCTTTCCACAAGATTACATTAGTTCTACGACTAGGTTATAAATTTGATATCTTGGTCTGGGAAAACTTAGGTTAATTTTTTTTTTAACTTTGTTTTTATTTTTTATACTTATCTTATTCTCATTTATTTTTTATTTTATTAATGAATAAAATTATTGAAACATTTTAATAATACTATAAGATTGTAATTTCATAATATTGATAAAAAATTATATTTTACATTGAATTATTGCTGATTTTTTTTTATTTATTATCAATATTTTTTTAATAATATTGTTATATTAAGCAAACTTATTCATCTCATTCAAGTAATTAACCGGTAACTAAGAATTTTTTTTTTTAAGAATATTTACATTATCTTAACATTTTCTAATGTTTGAACAAAAATATATCGAGCAACAACCAACCGCGCTGGTTTTAATTAGCAAGCAAATTTGCAACCCCCTTCATTCACTCCTTCCCCGCTACGAGCAGACACCGTCGTTATCATCGCTCTCTCAGAAACTCCACACACAGCCATGCAAGCCTTGCAATCTACTTCTCTCCGTTCATCTCCCTTAAACCCACTTCACCAAAAACCCCACAATGCAATTAAATCCCCAACCCAAAGACTCTCATTTATCAAAGCATCCTCCTCCTCATCAACTAGTAATTCCACCGTTTCGGCTCCTAAACGAGAGAAAGACCCTAAGAAGAGGATTGTTATAACCGGAATGGGATTGGTCTCTGTCTTTGGTAATGAAGTCGATGCATATTATGATAAATTGCTTGCAGGTGAAAGTGGGATTGGGACCATTGACCGATTTGATGCTTCTAAGTTTCCAACCCGGTTCGGTGGGCAGATCCGGGGGTTTAGTGCACAAGGTTATATTGATGGAAAGAATGATAGGAGGCTTGATGATTGTTTGAGGTATTGCATTGTTGCGGGCAAGAAGGCTCTTGAAGATGCGAATCTTGGAGGGGATAATCTATTTAAGGTTTCTTTCAGTTTTTTATTAGTTTGAATCTTCTTTATGTATCTATTTCTGGGTTTTCTGTGGTTGTTATTTTGGATCTGATGGTTGTTTTTATTGTTGATGTCAAGAAAAAGTGAACTTGCATTGACAATTTTGTTTCTATTTATTGTAGTTGGTATTTTGATATAATAAGCCGTGTCACTACGAAAATGGTGAAGATGCAGGACAAAATCATTTAATATTGAGTGCTTTATTATGCTCCTTTTTTTTCTGTAGAGAAAAAACATTTTGAAGTGATTTTGAATTGAACGGTATGCCGGGCCAGGTTGGATTTGGTATTTGGCTCGTTGTTTGTTTGTTTCATTGGTATTGAAGAAAGTGTATGTACTTTCCTTTGCTCAAGCCACATACTTGCTGGTTGTTGTAATGTATGTTTTGCAGATTGACAAGGAGAAAGCTGGGGTGCTTGTTGGTACAGGAATGGGTGGTCTTACAGTCTTTTCTGATGGTGTTCAATCTTTGATTGAGAAAGGGCACAGAAAAATTACCCCATTTTTTATTCCTTATGCTATAACAAACATGGGTTCTGCCTTGCTTGCAATTGAAATTGGTTTCATGGGTCCAAATTACTCGATTTCAACTGCTTGTGCTACTTCCAACTATTGCTTCTATGCTGCTGCCAATCACATTCGCCGAGGTGAGGCAGATATGATGATTGCTGGTGGAACAGAAGCTGCTATCATTCCTATTGGTTTGGGAGGTTTTGTTGCATGCAGGGCCTTATCACAACGAAATGATGATCCAAAAACTGCATCTAGGCCGTGGGACAGAGATCGAGATGGTTTTGTTATGGGTGAAGGTGCAGGAGTGTTGGTAAGCTCGTGTCTATTTCTGTGCTAAGGATGGATTATCTATAGATTTTAAGCTTCTTCATCTATTTTCCTTTTATTTTTTCTCCTGTCAACTATATCTTTTTTTGACATTGCACCTGCATGTCATAAATGATGGAATTGAGATCTACTTGAATGGTCATAATTTAATAAGATATTCCACTATGTGTTGGAATCTAGATGTTATATGAATGGAGTTGTATGGCTTGGCAGGTAATGGAGAGCTTGGAACATGCAATGAGACGAGGTGCACCAATCATTGCTGAGTACTTGGGAGGTGCTGTTAACTGTGATGCTTATCACATGACTGATCCAAGAGCTGATGGTCTTGGGGTATCTTCATGCATTGAGAGAAGTCTTGAAGATGCCGGCGTGTCGCCTGAGGAGGTATCTCCATTTGTTTCTGATGACCATCCTAATTTTGTGTTCTTTTTCTTCTTTGGTAGTAGTACTACTCTGGCGGAATATATCTCAGCTGTCTTACATTTTAGCAGTGTGATTTAAGTCCCCAAGGGGTGTGGCGTGATGGCAAAGAGCTTGAGATCTGCATAGCAGGTTTCAAGTTTGAGTCAGGGCATGCATCTCTTGTAAAAGCTTGGGACAACCAAGGTTTTACTCGTTTACCTGAGCCAACAAAGTGTGCTTTCCGGGAGGTGGGGTTTCTTCGAATCCAAAAAAAAAAAGTGTGATTTTTAAATTACTGCATAATTATTCCCTCTGACATTAATTTAATACCCGTACCTGCTATCTCTAGAAACCCATCATCTGTAACTTTTGTTATGTATGGGATGTGCATCACTGCACACCATAGTGAAAAAAATAGTGCCAAGATACATTCTTTTAATATTAAAAATAATAATGTCAAAGTATGGGAGCTCCTTGTAGAAGTTATACACAAGTCTCGAGTTCTCTGCAGATCCACTTAGTTGTTGAGTGTAGTCCTCCCATTCCATGTTCACAGGCAATTACCAGGGACATTTGGCTCTTAGGTGTTGGCATGTCACTGGTTGGGGTGGAGAGTCAATCTCAAAACTTCTTGTTGTGGTGTTGGAGCTACTCTCACTTTATTCTTTAGGGAAAATGCAACCTTAATACATGGACTTGTAATTTTTATATCAAAGTAGCTTATTATTTGCTCAATGTAGTATATGACGACTCCTAAAATTGCATCCTGTATGCTTTAAATTGTACGTTTATTAACTACTTGACCATTCAGCCATCATTCCTAAATGTGGTTGCGAACATGGTAGTTGATGTTCCATCTATTTAAACTACCTTCAATACCATATGCCATTTAAGCCGCTTCAATTAGACCATAAAAAAAACGAGATTTCTGTTGGTTTCTCATGCCTCTCTTCTCTCTGAGATATGGATTATTTAAAAATAATTTCAAATCCAAATCTCTGTTTCTTTACTTTTCTGAGTGCTCCTGTATGGAACGCCCACAAGAGAATGTCTTATTATCCTTGTAATTTCCCATGCACACTTTGGAAAGCCTTTGAGCATGAGGTTTCATTTCAGATTGGTGAAACCCCCCTAATGGGTAAGGATATTGGAGTTTATATGTGTGTTAAGTGTTGTAGTTGGTTCTGAATTTCTTTTGCTGATCATTTGTGATTTTATTAATTCATATTGATACATGTAAAGGGCTATTAAGATAAAAGAAAATTAGTTTGATTGCAATGATAGGGTTAGGTTGTGACTACTTGAGTGGAGCCCTGCTTGGGACTTGTTTATATTTGAATTTATCCTTCAATTTATAATTGGCCTTTTCGGTGCTTGGATGTTGACGAAGATTTTGAAATGCTGTCAGTTGTTAAGGGAAAAATGTTGGTGAAGCTCAAGCTTTAGAGTTGAATTATTTTTTTCTGTATTTGTTTGGTTTTATATGAGGGAAATTAGGAGTTCCAACTGATGTAAATGGAGGAAAGTTGTGAGTTCATAGGAGAAGATAGAAGCGCCCCCTCCTCCTAAAGTTATGACTAGGTTACATGGCTATTAGTTTTAATTAATTTAAGATTTTTTAAGTTGTTTAAATACTCAATAACACAAATTGAAGTGTAAAGATTCAAATGGAAATGATGAAATAGTAGAAGGATGAAAGTGTGATTATCTCCCTGAATTAGGCCTTAATTGGACGTGGTTTGATATTTGAGACACCTATAGAAGCGTTAGAGATAAGGTACTCGTTGATAAAACTCAGGATCATGCACTGAGTTTGGAATCTTTCCCTTCTTCTGTACTTCTTCAATATATGAATGCATGGTAAAAATCTGTTGTTGAATTCTCTATATTAATTCTTTAGAATTCGAGACAAAAGTTAGGGATATGTACTTGGATGATTTAAAGTTCAATCATTTTGCAAATGAATTGGCAAATCACACCAAAATAATGCAAAAAGTTTCTTTTAGTAAATTTATTTCACACTAAATCTGTTTTTCCCTGAAATCAGGAAAGAAGAGTTGGAATTTTCTTTTCATGGGGTCCTGAATAGCTGGAAAGCATATATTTGTCTAGTCTTTAACTGGGGTTATTTAATGCCATCATAAGTTTTGTTCTCTCTCTCTCTCTCTCTATATATATATATATATATATAAGAAGGCTGTTGTTTCGGTTGGTGCTACTGTTAGCAAATTAATCTAGCGCGCATATTTTTCAGGTTAACTACATAAATGCACATGCACCTTCCACTATTGCTGGTGACCTTGCTGAGATAAATGCTATAAGGAAGGTATTCAAGAACACTTCAGGGATCAAAATCAATGCAACGAAGGTAATCTCCCCTCCCTTTCGTTGAAGTTTGATTGTGCATGCTTTCTCCAAGTTTTGAATGGAGCTGCCTACAATGGTGTTTTCTTCCATTGGGTGGTTGATGTTGTATGCTTGTTCATTTTCTTTCAGTCTATGATTGGACATTGCCTCGGCGCTGCTGGAGGTTTGGAAGCAATTGCTTCTGTGAAGGCCATAACAACGGGATGGTTGCATCCTAGCATTAACCAATTTGTATGTGTCAGATCGTTTCTGAGTTTTAATTCCATAATTTTGTGGTGCTTTAGGTGTATTTTTGTTAACTTAAATAGATGGTCTCGTGAATTAGACTGTGCTTAGTGCATTCTTTTCTGACTGCAGAATCCAGAGCCCTCAGTTGAGTTTGATACTGTTGCCAACAAAAAGCAACAACATGAAGTGAATGTGGGTAAGATGGCGAAAGCTTTCGATTGGGATTTTGATTTTCAATTGCTGTAAACCACAGTCTGAAACTGCTCACTTTAACCATGTCTGTCTACAGCTATTTCGAATTCTTTTGGATTTGGTGGACACAACTCCGTCGTGGTCTTTTCTGCATTCAAGCCTTGAGCATCTGGCCTCTGTACATTTCTTTCCATGCATTCAAGCCCCGAGCATACAGCTTGTCTGCATTTCTCGGAGGGATCAGTCTTGCGTAGTTGAGATATGCTCAAGTGTCTAGTCAAAGAGGCTTCTCCATCATTTAATTCAAGCATTCCACGCGATTGTAGTTGTGTTGTAATAATTTTGAGTTGAACAACACCTTTAAGTTTTATGGATCGTTGATCTTATATGATTAATTTTCGTTTTTCTTTTCCTTTTCCGTTGTTGGAACTTTTACTATAAAAACTAAGCGAGTCTGGACCCCAGTCTAGGTGCAACTGGACAAGGCCTAAGAGTGTGCCCGCGCTCATCTTCAACCCCTGGTTCCTTTTTTTTTTTTTTCCCTTGTTATTGTTTCATAGTTATTTCATCGTTAAGTTACTGGTTAAGTGTACAAATTTAATACATTGTTTTTTTTTAACCAAGAAAATCATCATTAATTTTTTAGCGTGGGTATATAACTTAAAACTTTAAAAGTTGATTTTTTCCCTAGTAAATTTATTTTACCATTAAATAATCTTTAAAAGATAGTAAATTTTAAACTATTTTTTGTTTTATATATCAAATTAGAAAGCTATTTTAATCCAATACAAAAATTACTATTCATTATAATATTGTTATTACTATCTCACAAATTACTGTTTATTATAATATTGTAATCACAGTGTCACTGGTCTATTTTATTTTTAGCTTTGGTTTCAACGGTAAGATAGTATTTTCAATATGACATAAATGCATTTTGAGAAATATACGAGGTTAGTGGTATTTTCAATATGACATAAATGCATTATAAGAATTATACTAGGTTATTTTGGTAATTATATTTTTTTAATGCATAATAAAATTACAAATTTTATATAAAATAATCCAATGTCATATGCACAAGAATATATTTATATTTTTATACTTGATAAAAAAATAGAATTATTACATTACCCTCACCATTTAAAATTTTTAACCCTAGCTTTAGGAACTTGATTATAATTTTATCATGCTTTATTTGTTATTCTTGTTATCAATTTTATATAAAATATTTAAAAATTAAAAAAGATATTGAAGTGGACCTTGCATGTATTAGTGTGTTGGTCTCTTCATCACCTTTTTGCAAGTAAATCTTGTGGTTATAATCTTGATTTTGCTATATTATTTGATTTGTTTCAGTATCTTTTTTCTTTCTAGATAATGTGTGTATGATAGATTGACGTGATTTTGACTCAAAAATGCTTTCTTTTTCTTTCATTTTTATCTTTCTTCTCTTTCTTCTTTGGATTGCATTCTAGCCATGCAAAAAATTATACAATCCTTTCGATTTTTTCTTCTTTTGTTCAATCATTCTTCTCTTATTTGCAACTGTTTTATTTACTTTTATTATTTTTTATTAAATTTTATTTTTAATTTCATCATTGGTCGTTTAAAATTTTTAATTTGTTTTTAAATATGGTCCTTATTTTTTTATTTGTTATTTGTTTTTGTTTGAATTTTTTTCCTAGTTTATTTGGTTTTTTTGTCCAATTCCATCCCTATATATTTATTTTCATTTATTTTGTATATCAAATTTGGTTATAATTCTTTTAATTTTTAATCATTTTCTTAATAGATTTGTTTTTAACAATTTCATCCCTAGACATTTAATTTAATTTAATTTTCATGTTGAATCTAGACTTAATTCTTTTAATTGCTGTTTTTCTACATTGGTTTTTTATTGGTTTTTTTCTCCATTTCATCTCTTAATATTTATTTGATTAAGAAACTTGCTTCTTTGATTTTTTGGGTTAATAGAGTCACTCCGATCTCATGACCAGAGTTATAGAATTGAATGTGTTAATTTGTTAACTTGAGTTGATGTTGGATCCGCTCGAAGTTTTTTTTTTCTTTGACAAGTTTTAAAATTTTATATTTTAAAATTGGCTTATAATAAACTTCTTGGTAAGGATTGGATTCACGGTTTATAAGTTACGAGTTTTTTAAGATTTAACTATTTGTTAAGATATTTTTTTAGGTTTGCTTGGTTTTTACAGATATTTTTAATTTCACCCTTATAATTATTAATCTTTAAAATTTGGTCTTTATTTTTTTTATTTATAATTATTTATTTATGATTTTGTTTATCATCTTTTTCATTAAATTACATCCTTCTTGGGTTTTTTCTATCAATTTTTATCCTCGTTATTTTAACAAAATTTTTAATTAATATTTTTCTATCAATCTCATTTTTCAAAATTAAATTGATTGAGAATTATATTTTTTAATTGAGTTTGGATACAAAATTTCACAATATGCTACTTTTAGAGATTCTACTGGATTTAAGAGTTAATATTGGTGTTGTCAAATTTCATTTAATAAAAAATAATTTATTTAAATATTTTTTATTTTTTATCTTATAAGAAAAAAGTAGATTGAGGTTTAGAAATAATTTTTTTCTTGGCTTGGTTTTGTGTTGTTGGACTAATTTTATGATTTTTAAAATTAATAAATTGGTTTATCAAGGTTGCAAGTGTTTCTAAATGAAAATAAGCTAAAAATAGTTTTTTAGATTCAAGGAACCCAAGTTTGATTTTTTGACCACCTACAATAAATATTTTTTTAAAATAAAAAAACAAATAATATGTCACTTGTTATCTTTAAAAAAGCTAAATAAACCCAACATATAATAACTTTTCTATTTTCTTGGGGTTTATGCGTGGCCCAAAATCTATAGTCCATGCAGCAGTATTTTTCTATGTTTTTTTTTTAATAATTTATGTTTATTATTTTAATATTTCACTAAGATGTATCATGAGAAAAAAAGCTTAAGGTGATATTAAAAATGTTGTTAAATTTTTTTATATTTCTCATATAATTTGAGTATTAACAACTTTTTTCAATTCTTATGTCCCTATTACATAAAAATAACAAATAAAAGATGGGCTTATGAATATACAATAAAAATAAAATTACTTTTTATTTTTTTGGATTGATTTTTTACGTTATTTTTTTTTCTGCGCGTAACGCCCACGTGGGAGGGAATGGTCCCGAGCCCACAAACTACATGTCATTCCTGCAGTTTTTTTCCCCTTCCCGCCAAAGGAAGGGCAACCCACTACATCATTCCCGCCAAAATCAGAGGAGGGTAAGGCAAGGCAAGGCTAGGGCGCGAAAACAAAAGGAGTCCACATTCATTTTCCCCTTTTCATCTGGGGAAGCCTAAGCCTAAGCCTAAAAGAGAAGAGAAGAGAAGAGAGGAGAACAGAAGCAGTAAAATCAAGAAGGGGTGGTTGTGAATATGGAAGACAGGAGCAGTCACAAGCGAGCTTTTTTGGATTTCTTAGATCAAAACATATACAAAGATGAGATCAAAGCCATGATCAATCACAAGAGACGCCGTCTCATCATCAATATCTCCGATCTCCACTCTTTCCAGGATTTTGGTCCCAGGTATCTTACTTTTTCATCACATCAGATCTTTTTTCCACTTAGGTTTTCATTTCTCGATTATCCTTTCTTTAGGATTTTGCGGAACCCTAGTGAGTATATGCAAGCATTCTGCGAGGCGGCCACCGACACTGCTCGCAGCGTTGACCCAAAGTACTTGAAGGAAGAAGAGCAAGTTCTTGTGGGTTTTGAAGGTCCTTTTGTTTCTCGCCGTGTCACTCCTAGAGACCTTCTTTCTGAATTCATTGGCTCCATGGTTTGCGTCCAAGGCATAATCACCAAATGTACCGTCGCTTCACTCTCTATAATTAATCTATTTTTTCTCTACATGGGATTTTAACATATTGGCAATTGTAAGCTAAACTGGCCCTAACATATGAATGTGATGCCTTGTTTCAATACTTGGACGACAAGCATGATTTTCAATCTAAACTGCTAGTCTTCAATTTTAGGTTCCCTTGTAAGGCCAAAGGTTGTCAAAAGTGTTCACTTCTGTCCTCAGACTGGGAGCTTAACTACTCGTGAATATCGGGACATAACGTCTAATGTTGGTTTGCCCACAGGCTCAGTGTATCCTACAAGGGTATTGTCAGGTCCTTGACTTCTCTATTCTTTGCCATTGTCAAAGGAAGTTTTTTCATAGAAATTTATTTTCTTCAGGATGAGAACGGCCACTTATTGGTTACTGAGTATGGATTGTGCAACTACAAGGATCATCAAACCTTGTCAATGCAAGAAGTCCCTGAGAACTCTGCTCCTGGTCAGCTTCCACGCACTGTGGATGTCATAGTTGAGGATGATTTGGTTGACTGCTGTAAGCCTGGTGATCGAGTGGCTATTGTGGGAATTTATAAAGCACTTCCCGGGAAGAGCAAGGGCAGTGTGAATGGAGTGTTCAGGTAGCACCAACCTCTGAACTATATGCATCATCCCGTACAATGATTTTCCTTTTCCTCTTCATGGAATGCTGTTTTCTGGTTTGAAGCTTGACAAAGTGATTTTGATGTATAGGACTGTGCTTATAGCTAATAATGTTTCTCTGCTCAACAAAGAGGCAAATGCACCGATTTACAGTCCAGAAGATTTAAAGAACATTAAAAAGATAGCTGAAAGGGATGATGCATTTGACCTGCTTGGTAATTCACTTGCACCTTCAATATATGGCCATTCTTGGATAAAGAAAGCAGTGGTTTTGTTGATGCTTGGTGGAGTGGAAAAGAACTTAAAGAATGGCACCCATTTGCGAGGGTAAGTGATAACGTTTTCTCTGGTTGGCCTTTTAATGTTTCTTATCAATAAAGGATAAAACAGTACTCCGGTTACGTGCACTTGTTTACAAGAGATCAGATTCCTTTTCTGCGTTCTGTTTTATTTAGAGCAGTTTCACGTGCCAAGATTGCCTTTTGAGTTTAACTGATCCTCTCGTTCTTATAGTGACATTAACATGATGATGGTTGGTGATCCATCTGTTGCCAAATCTCAACTTTTAAGAGCAATCATGAATATTGCTCCCTTGGCCATATCAACAACAGGTCGTGGATCTTCTGGTGTAGGTCTGACAGCTGCTGTTACTTCTGATCAAGAAACAGGTGATGAACCATGGTTTAGGCACTTTAGCATTATCTGGTAGTTTTATACCTTTTAATCCGGGTTATAATTTGTTTTGACTTTTACCAGGAGAAAGGAGGCTTGAAGCTGGAGCAATGGTTCTTGCTGATAGAGGTGTTGTTTGTATTGATGAATTTGACAAGATGAATGATCAGGATCGTGTTGCTATACATGAAGTTATGGAGCAGCAGACTGT